CTTATTATAACGAAGCCAACAAACTGTGTGTAAAATGTCAAACTGGTTGTGTAGCATGCAGTTCAAATGGTGATTGTAGTTCATGTTTTGATGGGTATTATTTATCATATGGTAATTATTGTAATGGATATTGTAAACAATGTTTTGCATGCTCTGATAAATGTTACAGATGTGAAAACAACAAATGCACAATATGCTATCCTGGTTATAATCTCCGAGAAGATGGGACGTGCACAGTATGTGAAGCTTCTTGTAAAACATGTAGCACAGCTAATAAGTGCACTGTATGTAATTCGGGTTATTATTTATCATCAGAATACAAATGTGTATTATGTCCTACATCATGTCAAGAATGCTCAACAACATCAGGTCAATGTAAGAAATGCAAATTAAATGAAGTCTTTCTAATGAGTGGAATTGGGTGTGAAAATTGTTCTTCGTTTGATCAAAGTTGTGTTCAGTGTGATTCTAGTTTTCAAAGAAGATGTTATCGGTGCAATACTGGGTTATATCCCAATTACTATGGAATATGTATTCCGTGCTCTTCAACTTGTGAAACAAATCAATGTGATGCCTTAAATGGTGTTTGTAGTAAATGCAATCTGAATTACACAAAGAAAGCGACTTCAAATGAAAAAGAATGTGATTTATGCACAGATTTTGATTCAAATTGTAATGAATGTTTACACGAATCAAGAGGTTGTAAAACTTGTAAAACGGGGATCTATCCTGATACAACTTCGACGCCAAAATGTATATTGTGTGATAATTCATGTAAAGACAATTGTAACACTACAACTGGAATATGCACTTCTTGTGTTGATGGGTATGTTTTGAAACTTCAAAATACAACAAGTTGTGAATTGTGTTCTTCGTTTGATCCAAATTGTAACACATGTGCTTCCAATGGAGTGCGAAGTTGCACTTCATGTAATGCAAAATTCAAACCAAATATCAATGGAGGTGCTTGTATTCCATGTGATACAACTTGTTCAAATGGGTGCGATGGTCACACTGGAACATGCACATTATGTACAAGTGGATTTGTTCCATTTTTACCGCAACAAAACATTTGCCAGCGTTGTTCTGATTTTGATGGCAATTGCGCCATATGTAATTATAATGAGAGAAAGTGTAAACAATGTAAAAATGGTTATTATCCATCACAAAGAGAAGATAATACAAAAGGAATGTGTGTATTATGCGAATCTTCTTGTGTTGAATGTTCTGTTATAAATGGTGTATGTTCTCAATGTCAACTCAACAAAGTTTTTGCAGAACAACAATCAATCAATTGTGATGGATGTGACACATTTGATCCAAATTGTGAAATTTGTTCTTCTGATTTCAAAAGAAATTGTACCAAGTGCAAAGAAAATACAGGAAAACGGCCAAATATCAACGGTGGAGTATGTATTGACTGTGATTCAACTTGTCAGAGTGGGCAATGTGATAGGGAGACTGGTATTTGTTCATCATGTAGTTCACAGTATGTGTACGACAACCCATAGAAACAAAGTTGTGTTGCATGTCTACAATTTGATCCACTATGCACTATATGTTCTTCCAATTCTTCAAGAATATGTATTACATGTCTTACTGGTTATTACCCAATTAAACAAGTTAATAATGACGTAAAGTGTCAACCATGTAATACCAATTGTAGTTCTTTTTGTGATACAAAAACGGGAATGTGCGAGAAATGTGCAATCAATCACGTTCCAACAAATCCAATTTCAACGACTTGTGTAAGTTGTTCTGATTTTGATAAAAATTGTTACACATGTGTAAAAGACATGAGAATATGTTCTATATGTAAGCCTAACATGTTTCCAGATGTAAATGGTATATGTAAAGCATGTGACAGTAGTTGTAATGGTGATTGTAACACGTCAACAGGACAATGCATTTCTTGTAAACCCCAGTATGTACACAATATTATTAATATGAGTCAATGTTTTCCATGTACCACATTTGACGTAAAATGTCTTACTTGTGCTTCTGATTATTCACCCAAATGCGTGACATGTCAAGATTATTATTATCCAGTTACAAATGGCAAATGTATACCATGTAGTGAGGGTTGTGCAAAATGTGATACAACCAACGGAAGGTGCATTGACTGTCAGACAAATTATGTATTTACCAACCCTCAAAGCCAAAGATGTGAGTATTGTGATATATTTGATAGAAATTGTTTAACATGCTCATCATCGTTTGATAGAATTTGTGTCACATGTAAAAATACTGAAAATTATCCACAACGTGGATTGTGTAAACCATGTGATCTCACATGTGGTGGAAGTTGTGATTCAACAAATGGGACGTGTATCACTTGTAAAAAGGATTTTGTTTTCAAATTGCCACAAACAACAACATGTGAAAGTTGCACCACCTTTGATGCAAAATGTTCGTCTGAAAGTGGGAGTTGTTCTTCTGATTTTACCAGAAAATGCAACAAATGCATTGCAAATAATTATCCGGACTCGACTGGAATGTGTATCAATTGTGACACATCTTGTGGTGGGCAATGTGATACGACAAATGGTATATGTACTTCTTGTTCTCCAAATCACGTGTTTTATGCAACAAAAACGATAATATGTCAACCTTGTGAATCATTTGATAGAAATTGTGAAAGGTGCTCTTCGACATTTGAAAGAAAGTGTGAGTTTTGTAAAGCTGGATACCATGTTGGTACTAATGGGATTTGTATTTTATGTGATCCAACATGTAATAACAAATGTGAAAGTCCGAGTGGAAATTGTACTGGATGTATTCAAGATTATGTCATGAATGGAACTAAAGTATTACATGTAATCAACACAATACCGACTGTTTATCATGCAGTACTAATGGGTCGGGGTATTGTTTGACTTGTCAAAACAAAAAATATGCATTGGATGGTCTTTGTGTAAATTGTTCCACAACATGTACTAATTGTGATGGAATGACTGGGAGTTGTACTAATTGTCCAATAAATACTGTAATGCACACTATTGATGGTAAAATAGAATGTCAGATTTGCAGCGATTTCGATGCACATTGCCAGATTTGCAAAAGTGACTCTTCGAGAAATTGTGTGAAGTGTGAATCTAATTATTACTTGTTGAATACTGGAGGAGAGATGAAATGTCAAAAATGTGACTCAACATGTGGTGGGATGTGTGATATGAACAATGGATATTGTACTGGATGTCAAGAAAATTATGTAATGATTTCATCAACGAGTCAAACTTGTCAATTTTGTTCGGAATTTGATACCAATTGTATTAAATGTTCAAAAGATTTCAAAAGGAAGTGTATGACATGTATTTCTGGATATCGTCCAGTCAATGAAACAGAAGGAAGGTGCGTACAATGTGATATGACATGTCAAATACAATGTGATGGAACAACTGGATTTTGCAAATCTTGTAACAATGGTTACATCATGACACCAACCATAACTTCAACTTGTTTAAGTTGTTCCACTTTCGATGCACAGTGTAAAACGTGTTCAAATGATTCTAGTAGAACATGTGTAGAGTGTAAAGAAAAATATTATCCAGTTCGAGCTACAAATGGTGATGTCAAATGTCAATTATGTCATAATACTTGCGGAGGAAAATGTAATGGTACTAATGGGTATTGTATTGGTTGTGAAGATCAATATGTACCAGCAGTTAATTACCCAAATTCTTTGTATTGTGATAGTTGCAAACAATTTGATAGCAATTGTGCCACATGTGTTAATAATGCAAGAAAATGCCTTGTGTGTACCAAAGGAATGTATCCCGAAGAAATTAGCGGTATTTGTAAATCATGTGATGCAACGTTCAATTCACAATGCAACACATCAAATGGGTATTGTTCTGCTTGCAAAACAAATTACGTCTTTAACCCACAAAACCCCAAAAAGTGTCTCGAATGTAAACAATTTGATGGAAATTGCTCTGTGTGTGCACTTTCCTTTGAGAGAAAGTGTAGCAGTTGCGAAGAAGGATATTACCCAAATGATAATTCAATATGTGTTGCATGTGATACAATTCCAAACTGTGTCAACTGTAAAATAAACGAGAAGAAGTGCTTGTCATGTAATGACCCGTTTTACCAATTAAATGGTGAGTGTAAAAGTTGCCCAAATTACCAATACAAGAAGAGTCAAACTTCTTGTGACAATTGTTATGAAAAAGTCCGCAACTGTAAATTGTGTACAACAAAAACTATGGAAAATGTTTTATGTGATGAATGTTATCCCCCATATGTTGCTATTAATGGAATCTGTGTATCATGTCAGTCAAATGAATATTATGACACTACAACTAAGAGTTGTTTGACAATTAATAATTGTGAACGACCAACAAACTCGACTTCTTGTATTTCTTGTGAACCGCCTTACTTTGTCTCGAACTCAAAATGTGTTAACGCAAATGGGTGCAACAATCCCTCAAAGCTCTCAATAACTTCTTGTGATTGTAATGACCAAATTTCAGTCAATTCATATTGCACATCAAAAATTCCTACATGTAAATATCAGAAGTCTGTCAATGGAACGTCAAAATGTGTTCAATGTGATAACAATTTGATATTAGAAAATGGAAAATGCATTACTGTACCATTGAATATGTTTTGGAAAAATAATATTACCTTCATATGCAGTGAAGGGTATTACTTGAGTAATGAAAATATATGTAAGATGTGTAATCAAAACGACTCAATTTGTGAAAATTACAATAATGTCATAAGTTCATTAAAATGTAAAGACAGTTTTACCTTTAACATTGAAAAGAAAACGTGTTTAAGTGATGAAAATTGTGAGACGATTCAAAATGGGTTGTGTACCAAATGCAAGAATATTACAAGTGAACTGTCAAGTGGAAAATGTTCAAAATGTCAAACAACAAGTTGTGAACATTGTGAAGGTAGTCACTGTAAAATGTGTATGAGTAATTATCTTCTTTCAAAGAACAATTTCTGTGTATTCAAAACAAATGTAAATTGTTTGAAATCAACTCGATTTGGATGTGCATTATGTAATAATGGATATTACTCAGTTGATTCAATTAATAAAGAAGGAAAGTACGACTTCTGTATTAAAGCGCCAGTGACAAATTGTAAACATTACCACTCAAATTTGACAAAATGTGTCGAATGCTTAGATGCATTTCAACTCAAAAATAGTGTATGTTCAGAAAGTTTCAATGAACTTGAAGAAAAGACACCAATTTCATTAAAATTGACAATAAAAGGAATTGAAACAGTTGGGTGTAGTATGAGAGATAGCAAGGGGTGTAAACGATGTTTGAATGGGTATTATTTAGACAACAATGAATGTATCAAATGTGGTGCAAATTGTAAGACTTGTTCTGATTCTGTTTATTGTACTTCTTGCGAGGACGGCTCATTTATAGACACCAATTACCGATGTCAGTCACTTGGTGATCTTTCGAAGAAGTGTAAAATAGCAATGCCGAGTGGAGGCGGGTGTGCTATATGTAAGGATGGGTACTTCAAAAGTGGGATTGATTGTAACGAGTGTGATGACTCCTGTTATAACTGTGATTCCAGAGAGCGTTGCTTATCATGCAAAAATGGATATTTCAGAATCCCACTTGAGAAAATTAAATTGTGTTTATCATATGATTCAAATTTAAATTGCACCGTTGTGAATCCCGATGGATGTATTCTTTGTGCTACTGGTTTTTATTTATCAAATGGACGTTGTGTAAAATGTGACAATAATTGTTTAACTTGTGTTGATGGAAAGAGTTGCACTTCATGTATTGAAGATTACGTAGCTGTCGAACATAACTGTCTTCATTATAATTTAATTGAGCATTGCACTACTGCAAAAGAATCAAAATGCACAACATGTGAAGGACGTAATATTCCCTCGGATGATGGAGAAAGGTGTGTAGGGCTTACAAATTATGGTGTGGTTATTGGTATTCCAATATCGATATTTGTTGTTCTAATTATTCTTATAGCTATCATTATTGTAGTTGGATATCTTTTTGCGATGAGAAAAAAGGAAGAAAAGAAGATGATCAATGTCTGTGTATTCCAAATGAAACGATCAAATGTGCCCATGTTTGCAATTAACGACGTTCTCTCAACAAGTAAAAAGGAAATTCATTTTGATTTGGAAGAAGACCCACCTATCAATGTTGACTCGGAGACAAGAGACTTAATCTGTATTGGTAACAATTCCAAACACAATGTGAAAGTCCAATTCAGTGTGATGGAAGGATGTGATCATTATGAGATCAGAACAGTACCTTCTTTAATATCACTAAAGAGAGGTGAAGCGTGTGAATTTGAGATATTTATCAAACCGTCGTGTAGTTGTAAAATCAGTGAAGACATCATGTTGATTGCACTTGATATAATGACTGGGGTGCAAATGAATGAGAGGATTCACGTCGAGACAACAACAAAGAACTCGACCAAACTGGACTATCGTGAATTAACTGAAGAGAAAAAACTTGGCGAAGGATCCTTTGGTATAGTGTACAAAGGAAAATACCTTAACAAAACAGTTGCGATCAAAAAGATGAAGAACACACAAGCCACAAAAGAAGCAATAGATGAGTTTGATAAGGAAGTCTCCATGCTTGATAAATTTAGAAGTGAATTTGTTATTCACTTCTATGGCGCTTGTTATATACCAAGTCATATATGCATGGTCACTGAATTTGCTGAACATGGCTCTTTGGCCGACATGATCAATAAAGAGAAAGAAATCAGTCTAAAAATGAAGGTAAAGATCATTTGGGATGGAGCAAGAGGTATCAAGTATTTACACGAGAATGGCATTTTACATCGAGACATCAAACCAGACAATATTCTTGTTATTACAATGGAAGAGAATGTCAAGGCTAATGGAAAATTGACAGACTTTGGAAGTAGTCGAAACATCAATATGTTAATGACTAACATGACATTCACAAAGGGAATTGGAACACCAAAATATATGGCGCCTGAAGTGTTAAACAAACAACATTATAAGAAGTCGTCTGATGTTTTTTCTCTTGGTGTCACTATGTACGAAGCTCTTGTGTGGGGAGAAGTCTATCCAAAGAATATATTCAAATTTGCTTGGAGTATCGCCGACTTTGTGACGAGTGGGAAAAGAAGAGAATGTCAAGAAAACATGAATGTTGAAGCTTATAATATTGTCGATCAGA